TATCGTTCCGCGCCTCGCAGGCATCGTTGATGGAACAGTTCACCGAAGCATCTCCTTTGAAGCCGTTGGCACCTCAAGGTCAAGGTCATTAAAGTACCTTAAAATAAGGTACCTTTAAGGCCCCGCAAGTGGGTTATCTTTGGTGATTTTTAGTGAACCATTTGGCCCCACAATTTTTCTTCGGCATCCTAACTTTTCAGAGGAAAACTGATCTTTCTCGTTTTGCATCTTTCATGCATCATGGGAATATTGGTAATAGCATTTAAACTGATCATCATCATATACCTCTTCAATTCACCATTTTTTTTTAAAATCAGGTTTTATCAGAACCCATCAGAACCCATCATTTTTGCCGTTGAATTTCTGACAGTTTCACCGTTTCACCGAGGCCACGAACAAATCCATCCCAGGATGCTGTCCTGTCGATTCAGATCGTCTTTGCATCGAAAAATTGTGAATCCACAACATCTACATAAATCATATCATAAATCTACATCATACATCTAAGGAATCTGTCAACATCAACTAATCGAAATATAGGACATGCAAGGAGTCTGTGAACGATATCTCCAAAAGCAAAGTTTCCAAGACATCAAAATCATCCATGATTAAACTTCATTAAACTTGTTTTTTTCCATTCAACACCTGGACCTACCTTCCCTACCTTCCCTTTAAACATCAAAGGGCTGCCGTCCGGTGCCGGTGCCGCTGCCGTCCTTGATGTATCCATCCTGCACCACCAGGCCCTGAGGGCAGTTCGTCAACGCGCACTGTGGACGACTCCACGTCCTGGCTGCCATAAACTTTTGGCCATAGATATTTAAACATCCAGCTATCCTTCAAATATGATATATATATATATGTATATCACTTATGCCATAGAGATTTGACATCATTTTCAGATTTCACATCATTGAATCATGTGTATTCTATGTATGCTTAGATTTAAGCATATTCAAAGCGCCCAAAACGGATATTTGACTCCGAAAAACAACAGGAGAAACATCCAAACTCCACAACCCCGCCATGGTCCGCACAGCGCACAGGTCGGGGGCACAGCACTTCGCTGGTGTTGATGTTGCCCTCTGGGCAGGTGCCATAGGTTGAGGGCCCGGTGTAGGGATCCTGGCTGAATGTGACATGAACTGAAGATTTTTGAAAGACACATCTGTAAAAATCTGTTACAATCTGAAGATTGGGACGAAGATCTCTAGCTGAATAACACTGATCAGTTGATCAACTTCATGAGAATCTGCGCGCCTTGCATTTGATTTCGCAACTTTCGCCACCTTGCACACTTCGACCTTGCCATCCGCGCCATCTGTGCTGTCGCCGCATGCCATGCATCAGATGCTCAGTCTGGGATCCCCGTGCAATCAGAGACATCGATGTCACAGCCATCTGCGATGATGGGAAGACATGCCTCAATCGGCACCTGAGCTGGGGGCAAACCACGAGAGACCCAAAACCCAAAGGTTCGAAAGATTGAAACCCAAGAGTCACTGCTGGGAACTGAGTGGAACTGAGTCCAAAGTCCCAAAGTCCCAAAGTCCCAAACATCAATCTATTGGTTATCTATTGGTTATCTATTGGTTATCTATTGATGGGTGCATCCGCATTCCGCAGCCAAGGCACACAGCCGCTGAGCGTCGGTGTAGATTGACAGTTCCGTCGTGCAGAGCATTGAATTCCTGCAGATCCTCGCGGAAAAAAATGCGGTTGTCCTTTCAGAAAACTTGTTCGTTTCCTCCATGTTTCCTCCGTGTTTGATGGCTTCAACAGAAAAGTAGTGAAAATTCGTTTTGCAAAAATGGATGGCTCACCCCTCAAAGAAAACACCATTTCTTCGGGTAATCCTTCAAACAACTGGTTCCTTTTATGGTTCCCTGGCCTCTAATTTATTCTAATTCCTGCCCCATCTGCGATTCGGCACTGAGGATAACTGACCGGCAAAGCCCACGGAGCAGCGCCATTCTCCCAGAAACTGCGGCGTGTTGAGAAAACCCATCACCAGTGGCGTCACCAGATTTCGAGACACGAAAACATATGAAAACATATGATGAAAACCATCTTATCTGGAATCACCCTACATATGAAAACCGGAATCAAGACCCTCTGGGAATCAAAGATGGGAGCGGAGGCCGTGTCTTTGGGGATATTCTATGTGAGACGCCGGCGTTTGCGATCTCCATCAGTCACAGTATCCACCGTGGCCATAAGGTTCGCGCGGCAGAAATTTGCCAACAGATCTCCACTGGGCAAAACGACTCGAAGACACTGGAGGTTAACCTTCATGGCACGCGCAATGCGCTTGTGGGTTTCCCACAAAAGATCGGACTCTCGCACGTTCAAGCGCAGCACTTCTTTACCCGTCATATTTGAACAGATCAGTGTCAAGGTGTCCGAAATAAAATCCAGTTGCAGAACACGGTCTCCGCCAAGTGGCAAAGAGCACCTGGGGCCAAAAACGTCGATATTCCATGGAGATACAGCACCCGCGATTGTCCAAAACTACGGCACCTCTGAAGCCCTGAATCCACTGGTTCATCATCATAGTAGAATCATATCATATTCCGGGAAAAAATGCCAAGCTTTTCGGGGATGGAGAATCAACGAAAACTTGAAACGGCTATCCAACTTGTGTGGTTATGATACTCATAGTGCACTAGTGAGCAATAGCTTAGCAGCTGCTAAAGCCACCAAACATACCAACATTACCAACCAGGCACATGTAGTAGACACCTGGCTCAGGTTCGGGCAATGGAATTGGTCCCAAGGATCCACAAACCACAGCACCACCATCACTGCGGAGAAGCACAGCCACATTTTCACCTGCTGAAACTTGGGAGTACGTGACTCCAGAATCCAAAGTTGGAATGTCGCATTGAAGCTCACGATATCCGCAAGTCACAACCAATCCATCACTTCGAAGAAGAAAGCTTTTGTACTTGCCTGCAGACACCTGGGTGTACGTCATGCCCTCATCTAAACGGGGGAGGTCCAGTAATCCATGAGCATTTGGTCCGCAAGCAACTGCTTTTCCGTCACTTCGTAGGAGCAACGTATGCTCACCGCCCGCAGAAACTTGGGTGTATGATGTTCCCTCTTCCAGAGGCGGTATATCACATTGTCCAGACATATTATTTCCGCAAGTTGCAACCCTCCCATCACTTTGGCGAAGGACTGTATGTCTAGAACCTGCAGAAACTTGAACGTATGAGATCCCTTTCTTTAATTTCGGAATGTTGCATTGTCCATCATCATTTCGACCGCATGCGACGGCACTGCCATCGTTCCGAAGAAGGACGGTATGCTCGGCGGCCGAAACTTGGGTGTATTCAATTCCATCCTCCAAAGGTGGAATGTTAGACTGTTCAAATCCATATCGTCCAAAAGCCACAGCAAGGCCGTCATTTCGCAGAAGAACTGTATGGAAACAACCTGCAGCCACCTGGGTGTATATCTTTCCATCCTTCAATACTGGAATGTCACATTCTCCGTAAAAATTTCGCCCGAAAGCCTCAACACGGCCATCACTTCGCAGAAGCACGACATGATTATACCCTGCAGAAACCATTTTGGAAGGATTGTTTGCGCCAAGTCTCAACAAGAACTCAATCCTTGATTGATTGCCTTCAATATCTTCAATGCATATTTCATAGTGTTATCACATGGCAATATCCCGACTCTGCAAATATGTTCATTGTTCTATGTTGCTCGCCAATCCGCCGTCTTAACACATCCAAAAACTATGTGCCAACAACGTGACTTCTCAAAAATACGAGTTTGAAATATATTGAAAGAGTCATAAATCCGACCGCCGAGCCGAACAGTCACGTCTTCTGGAAGAACCTGAAACTATCATTTTTCGATTCGGATGTTGCTGTCAACCAAACCATTTCCTGGTTTGTCCGAAATCGGGATGCACGAGAAATATGGACAACAATGGCAGTTGTTTGTAGCTTTTGACTATGGACAATGCTGAGAAAACATGAGTTGGTTCTTTTCATTTTCAATCACCAGACTTCACAACTTGTGAGTTGCCCTCTGGTAATCAAACATGGCTGGAAAATTCCCCATTTACTTCGATGATCTTCAAAGAAATCCCTATGGTTGATGATCGGTTGATGGTTGAATCCCATTAAATCAGGGATTTCCCAACTGCGGGGTAGATTTACTGTGGTTGATGAATCCCATCCAACCAGTGGTTACTTCAATCCTGAGGGGATGATGTCACCAACTGCGAATCTGGATAAAACCATTGGCAATTGGTCTTTGATAGAATCATTGTCATCATATGTTCTGTCATGTTCTTACATGTTCTTACAATGAAATAACGAAGATATGGCGGTTTCTGGAGAGGAAATAGTGATTGATGCTTCAGGAACTGCCGATTTCCACACAAGGGATCATTAGGGATCATCAGCATGGCCTTGTCATAGCCTTCTGGCACATCATCAGGTTCTCCACATGCCTGCGCCAACATCATGAGGACCGTTGATGACAGCTGATGATATGTAAATTTAGTAAATATAGAAATAAGCCAAACATAGACAAACAATGCATATATCTAAATGTTTATATGTACACACAAACTTCACCAGTCAAATGATAGAAATGATATCCAATATTTAACGGTCGCGACTCTGTGATAACAAACCTATCGACAATTCAACCAATGTATTCATCTATAATCAAAATGATACCCGTCTAAACATCGATATTGACATGTATTGACATGAAAACACAACTATAATGTGGGTGTGTTTCATATATCGCCAGATCATCGCCTCCCCAGCTTGGCATGGCGAAAAGTCACGCTGCGATGGTGCCTGTGCGACGAACACGTATCAAAATGTCACATATCATCAGCTCATGAAGAATTGAAAACTGATAAATTGAATTGCCATTAAACCTCCTAAGGACGAAGAAAAATGTCACATGCTTGACTTCATATTTTCTGTTGGTTTCCCATGGTCTACCCATTGTATCCCCATGGTTGGCAACGATAGTGAACCATCCACCTCTATGAGCTGAGCCAAAGAGATGGCGATTTCTGTGGCGTTGGTGCAACCTGAGATCGTGGCGGCATAGCATGGTGGAAATATCTGACTGAAATCTGATGTGTAACAAACGTGAACGCCGTGAACGCATTTTCAAGCAAATATCTCACTGAACTTGTTGGATATGATCTATTGTCAAAACATGGACCTGCACAAACGAAAAAACACGAGCCATGAGCCATGCCAACTTTCTTAGCTCAAAGTCATCAGGTCAGCAGAAAATTGGGTTCCGGGCCACTCAAAGTCAAGACATGCTCACATGGTTGCGTCTCACCTTACACAGTGAAACCCGGTGTGGCTCCCGGGAAGCGCCAGACGCATCATTACACAGCTTGCGACTTGAGCCCCACACGGCATTGCATGATCGCCTGTCCCACCTATGCGCAATCTGTGCCATCGGAGCTTTCAACGCCAACGGCATCGCTTGCTCACCCCAGTCATCCCTGTACAGCCTATACCATCATATCATGTTTCAAACATGTAGCATCCCATCTATACTTGGTTGAGATATCTTACATCTTGATATCAACATATATCAACATGTATCAACCCATTCCGTCCATAAATGGGTGTGATATCTGGGTTTCATCTGAGGCTTCCAACAAATCCTTCGGTGCAGGTGAAGATTTCGCCCACGCGCTGGTAGCCCACCGGAATGGGATCCGGATCAGGACAGCCCTGGCAGGTGATGAGACAGCTGGGAGGGTTGAACAAAGTGGAAGAACAGGAACAAAATGGAACAAACAGCAACATCCAATAGTCGAGATGATCAACACTAGCAATATTGTGCAATATTCAGTTTGAGAATTTTGGTGAACATTCAACATTCACTTGAAGAAGTGATTAGCTTGGACGGTTGGATGAGTTCGAAAGGATATGCCTATGCCAAGGACAGTGGGAACATGTCCAAAATTACCGGTACCACATGGCCTCCAAATCGCAGTACGGCAGGGTCAGAAGCAGCTCCTGGAAATCAACCAACTCACCAGGTTTGTTTGAAAATACGGCACAAATTCGCTGGTTCTTTATCGCATTCCCAATGAAATGGGCATTGAAAGTGGGGGATTTATCCAGATTATCCAAGATTATCCAGGATATCGCAGATGTTCAGACCCAAGCGGTCAACATTGGTCAAACCCGTCCTCCGGTGGGCTGCTTGGGCCGCCTGGGCGACCCTCGCTGCTGTAGCCCGGGGCACAGACCGCCCGGGACGGGGTCCCAGCGAAGGGGGCGGCGCACTTCACCTGCCAAGTGATGGACATACCTGACATACCTGACATACCTTTGGTTGAAACATGTTGAAACATGTTGAAACATGTTGAAACCAGTCAAAGACCAAAAGTGTGGATGATATTGATTGATATTGATTGATATCGATTATCCATTGTATGGAAAGTTGATCGAGCCACCTATCAAACCAAGGTTTGCCGAGCCGGGTAAACTGAACGCACTGAGGGCACGGCTTCACAGTACTCACCCGGAGTGATGGCACTGCAGTTGGACACGTCATACCTTTGCCAGGCGCTGCACCGATGATGCACCTGTTTTCTGTTCAACTTTGATCTACTCTCCATCTTCCAACAGGAAACAATCATCCTTTTTCTTCTTTTTCCCCAATCTTGACCCACAACCATCCCAGACTTCATGATGTATCATGAATTCACCCTATCAGGTTTTCATGATGTACCAAGCCTGGTTTTCAAGTGTTTCCCATCCCCGTTGCCTGCAGCCCAGCGCTGGGAGGCTGCAGGGGGTGCGGATGGGCGTGCAGCCGCTGAGCCAACTGTAGACCGCACAGCTGCCGTCGTGCGAGCAGAGCTTCTGCGCTGAGCCCTCGAAACCATCAGCGCAGAACCAGCCTCGATGGGGATTGGGATTTGGGATGGGGGTTGGGGTATGGGCAAGAAATCATTGGGCAGTTGGAAATTGAAACTGGCTCAACCATTGTGGTTGATATCTATTTTATAAAGATACATTGCATCTCCAATGTATGAATCTAAGGCTTCTAAGGATAATGTCGGATCCATTTCCGTGCAGCATTTGATACAGCTGATACATACCAACTGGAATTCGCATACTGGGCATGGATGTTGGGATGGAGAGATGGGTTTCTGGTGAAAGAGGAGTCGTAGATTGAAGCCACTTAGCATAACTCCATAAGCATCATATAAGTATATATAAGTTTCAAGATGTTTGAAGCATCATCAGAAAGAAACTCTGGTGGCTGTCATATGCTGTCATGATTATATGGATTATATGGATTATCCCTCAGTATGTCTATTTGGCGTCGCAGCGGTCGTTCGTCGCCGGTCGCACTTCGCCCTTTTTGTTTTGGCAGCGCAGCTCCGCCAGATCTCCCGCAGCAGATTCAGGTGAGCACCGAAGAAGATCCAGCTGGCCTTGGACAGTTGCCGAATGCTACGGATGGCATATCATGGCATCATGATGCTGTAACAATGACTGGATGGTACTGTAAGAATGATCAACTGGATGTTGAAAATGCGTGGGAAAAAGATTGAAATTGGTTGGGAACTCAAGCAAATATGGTCAAATATTGTCAAATACGGTCAAATTGGTCATGAAAACACAACTGAAACAAAGTGAAAGATTGGCAACATGTGTTTCACTATGTTGTCCAAGGCCAAGTGATGTCAAGCTCTGAATTGACGTTGGCTAACGATCTGAATTGACAGCTTGGTGACCTCTGGGTTTCTGGCCATCCAAACAACTGGTCGCAAGGGGAAGCCTTTGAATTCCAGCAGATAGGCCCACAACAGCCAGTGCACCTGCATAGCAACTCAATGTGCACTCGGTATGATTGGCATGTGGCATTTTGACAAAATGGTACAACAGTACAACCATTCTTTTGAGTAGGTCAAAACCCTGTGTCAATAAAGACATAGAACGACTTAAACTTTCTACATAAACCATGTAGATAGACCAAAGGGGTTGTTTACCATCTGCCTCTGCACCCATCCAAATCAGCAGAGAACGCCTCGCAGCTCGGGCAGCTTCCATGGGATGATGACAAGATATCCCATTTTCAAACATACATATCACCACAAAAATCCACATATCATATCAGCACACTATTTGTTCAAGAGACATCTTTAATGCACAATAATCACAATATAATAAAGGGAAGATTTGAACTTTCTCCCATGGTTCGTTTTTTCACATTGCCATCATGAAGCCATCGATGTCGCCAAGTTACACGATGCTGCTGGTAGCAGGCGCAGCTGGCAGCAGGCAGAGCCACCAAACAAAGTACTGCGCCTGATGGTTGGAGGATGTTGATTGACAATGTATTTTCTTGATCTCCCACATAATGTGCACTGTACACCAAATGGCCTGAAATATGTCTACTTCATGAGTTTTGTGGGACATCTTGATGTTTTATCTTTACGTTTAAAATGGCTAACACCATATTTAGATGAAATATGTGGGACATGAAAGGCATCATATCAGCATCTGGAGAAAACATACATGTTCTACTCTACGTCACATGTGGCAAAAAATCAAGGCAGTATCTCTGTCATCACGTCACCATTGTATCATCAAACATCTGCATTTCATGACATAAATTCATGAGTAATCATAGATCTATGATGATCTACACTGAATCTACACCACATAAATGGAGGTAACACAGTGGAGGTAATCATTGTTTTTTTACCATATAAAACACAGTGATGTTCACTTCGTTCACTTCCACCAGTATCCCTGGTGGATCCCTGGTGGATCCCCTGGGCACCGTCAGCACTTTGTTCGTGGCCACGAAGGCGATGGTCTGCAGGAGGAAGGCCACGGGCAACGTGGCACCGGTGGAACTGAAGGACCAAAGTCCCAAAGATGTGGACCTCGCAGAAATGGTGAATGGTTGGTGAATGGATGTGATTAATGGCCATGTCAAACACTGCTTTTAGTCTTGGATTTTCTATCTTTGCAATCCAAGGGGCAGAATCAGCTGCGGGATCGCTGCAAAGGCAGAGAGATCCACCGGAACTTTGCCGTCCAAATAGAGTCCCACCAGGTAGAAGTAGACCTTGGGATTGGTGGCAAGGCATGAAAGGCATGAAAGGCTTGGCTTCGCATCAAACAAGCCCTAAATCCATCTGGTTTTTCACCAAACCACCAACGAACGATAAGTAATGCTTCACGTGGGGCTTCACTTGGGTGCTCTCAGCTTTTGGAAAGATCTCCTCTGAAGTCTCCGCAGCAGTTTTGCAGAATCCGTTGAGACACCAATCCAAAAAATCCAAGAGACAGAGAAATTGTGTTGAGGATCTTTCCGCTTACCTGGAACACTGCAAAACAGAAGCAAACATAAAAGGAAATGAAGTGGAAATGGAGCGGAGAGAAATGCCAATGCTACTTGAAGATCCCTTTCTTAGACAATTTCAGTTTAAACAACCTTCATCAAATCCTATTCATATGTTCCCATCAAAAAAGGGAAGAGCGAACAATTCGCTGGGAGGCCGTGGTGGAGGTAGGCGCATTCCAGAAATTCCATGCCGTAGAAACTGTAGCACAGGGCTGCCAAAGCTGCGAAAACGGTGAAGGATAAAGCACCAAATCCTGGTTGGGGCGAGGCTATTTTGGAAAGACGCTCCAATCTCCAATTTCTGACATTCTTTTCAAACTATGTTGCATTGCGAATAAAGCACGATACATGATCTAGATTTCCGTTAAACATATCCAACAAGTGGCTACATCCCATGACATTCCCATTTCCACACATTTTATGGGTCATATATCCATACATATCCAATACATATCCAATATATCCCCATTATGGGTACATCATGGCTCCCCGCCTATGAAGCGTTGCCAGGAGAGGTGGAGGGCTATCACTGGGATGTAGATGACCTTGGAACGTGGAACCCTTGGAACCCTTTCGGATGGTGTCCAATCGAAACTCATGGGAAATATCACTTTCTTAAATGGGAAACCATGTTCCATAAAGATAGTTTTATGATATTTTATGTTTTCACATGAGAATATTGATGATGTCTGTTTGTCATTCAAAATTGAAATTCCCTATTGCCATGCTGGAATATTTACCAAAACCTAGACTGTGTTTGGCAATATGTACCTCAAAACTGAATGTCCAAATGATGGTAGTGACACGCACACGGATGGGCTGATCTTCGATTCCGATGGATAACAAACAAGCCAAAATGGCGCATTTTGCAGGCCCCTTTCAGTCTTCCACTTCCTATCCCTGAATGTCATGCAGGTACCTTCCTGTTCTCAGATCTTTCATGGAAGTCGTGTCACACACCGATCTGCCCCAAGGCACTGGGTAAATCCGCCAGTGTACCGCAAGTCCAAAGATCACAGCAGCCATCCGCCAATTCCTCAGCTTAATTTCAAAATCCATGTGATTTTTCAATATTCATCATCATCATCATCAACAACATCAAATGATTATCATCATGATCATGATGTTCATATCGAAATCACTTCTGGAACTCTGAAATCACCCCAGCTGTGGCCATTTGGCGCCGTTTCACCGATGGGCCAGGGATCTGTTTCTGTAGGAAGTAGATCATCCCATGGATCAACAGTGCCACCAGGGACTCGCCACCTCGGAAATAGATCCAAAAAAAACTGGAGAGAAATCCCAGTTATCCAGTGTTCCATCAAGTACAAATTACCAAATTACTATGAGAATGACAGATCTTCCAGGAATTGTAACTTAAACGAATGATAAGCAATGAAACAAACCTCAACATGCCACATGATTGCGATATGATTAGTAACTGCCACGCGTGGAGATCGTGAAGCAAAAAGGATTGAAGAGCCACAGCGCCAACCTGCACGGCAAAGAATGTTGGATATGGTTGGATTAGTTTATTAGATTATTAGATTATACTTAGATTAGATTTATAATGATTTATAGATTTAAAACATGATGAAAACAGTTTTTGATTTATTTGAACATGTTGATCTTCCGACATTGGGCAGTGCTGACACTGTGCGTCAAAGGCCCATGTGATTTGTGATACGAGACTCAGATGTTGATATGAAAACATATGAAAACGTCATTCGGGATGTTAGGATGTTAGGATATAAAACATCACGAATACGTCCTCCATCCGAATCCAGACACCTGAGAGAGCCACACTGATTTTGCAGCAGCAGACATCCTACTGCCAGATCCAAGGCGGAAAAGAGAAGCTTTCCTCGGAGAAAACCAAAGAAATCCACGACAAACTCGACCAAACATGGAACAGATATGGGAAAAATAACAGAACCAAGATGACTGATTTACACCGACGTACCACAACCTAGCAGACCTAGCAATAGGACACATATCAGGACACATTTCTACCAAGCTTCCCCAAGCCTTATGGATCCATACGTTCCTCAGCTGTGCTGGCGACCAAGGTATCATCTAACCTTCAGAGTGAGAGGTGTCAAAATAATCGGGACAAACAATCTGAAAAGAAACAACTTCTATACACACTAAACTATACATATGATATATCAATCTTTACGGTATCATGTATATATATATATATTATATTATATACATATATTCAGTTATATTCATATCAATACATGTGAGATTATATGTGCATTATTTACTCCACCAACCAGCTGATAGTGACATCAGTTGCTGCTGTAAATTCATCCGGAGCTCGGCAGCAGCAGCAGCGCCAGCAACGGCGTGTAGCGATATCTGGTGGCGTCCGCAGCCAACAGCTGGGTACGACCCTGGTAGGGACTCAGCCCCAATGACACCGACCTTGGTGAATGGTTGGATAAACGTTTGGATTAATGTTAGGTGGTGCCAATACATGTAAAACGATGGTAAAAACTACAGACAAGGAATTTGTTTACAAAAATTGGGCAGAACATCGATTTAAGCGGAACCCCCAGGGAGAGTTTGAAACAGTTTCGCACAACAAAAATGCATTAATTACATTACCATTCCAAAGATATCTAAACGACATGACACCTTGTGTGACCCTGAGAGCCCGGCTCCGCGGCATCAGTAAAGACCTGATAGTCGATGTCGGTGTAAGCCACTTCTGCCAGATGATCCTGCACCTCACAACTTGAATTGGTGCTGCAAAAATACTGAAAAATTATGATTGTGGTGGTTTTTTTTTCCGGTTCAGCTGGTTGATGTTTTTCACATTTTTTCACATCCGATGTTCCCATGATCCGTTACCAAACCTCGGCCACGAGGATCAAGGCGAGCCGTAGCGCCGCAGCCAGGAGCCTGGAGCTGGGAAGCATTTTCAAGAGATCAATGTGCTTTGAAAACCCGAAACAGGTCTGAAACATGATTTGCCACTTTCCTATATATATATACACATATATATTCATATATGTATATTATAAAACCTATCTATCTATCTATCTATCAACCAATTTATCATTTAACATATTTGGATACTATTTTGAGGTTCCATGATCTTCAATGACCTTCCATGATGACCTCACGACCTCACAGCCAAGTCGCAAGAGTTTCCTGGGGGAGCATCGATCCAAACTGGACCAGTCCATCGAGAAACTTTGAGCTGAAACTGCTGGGCTGGGCATCGAAAGTTCCAAAAAAACAACAAGACATCATCATTCCATTGATCATAAGTGGACTAAACAGGTCAACATCAAATCTACAATGACTGTGTTATCAGTGTTATCATTGCTTGTTATTGGTTGTTCTTTGGATTTCTATGCTGCAGCAGTGCCGTGACCGCCGTCACTGGGCCGTGGACCGCTGGTGTTCCACAGGTAGCCGGGCATCACAGCTGGGTCGGGACAAAAGTCCAAGCGACAGCTGGGTTCGGTGTACCTGCGCCGTGGTAAAACAAGGTAAAAACCGAGTTTTCTACTTCAGATATGGCTTGACTAAACCTGAAAATCCACTTGTTTCAAATGTTTCAAGTACTTGAAACAAAACATAAGTTACACAAGTTTGTCATGTTAACATCATGCAATCCATTTACGAAATGTCTAAAGGTCACTGGAGACCAAACTGTCCACCCGGATTCTCGCAGAAGGCTGTGGTGGAGGCGCCTCAGGGATGCTCATGGCCATGGTGACCCATCAGTGGTGATATCATGGCAATGAAGAATACCATGGCTGGTGCATATACATCATATTAGATAAGAATATATGATATCAGGGAAATATCGCCAACATTACAGGATTTAATGGGATCTCATGGTGATTCTAAGATAACAACTCCAAAATTTTCCAAAATGGTAGGTGACTTTAAATAGGAAACATGGAGAAGTCTGATGATATCCTCATCCGAAAAACCGGATCTGAGTGGTGATGCCAATGAATCCCGCAGCGCAGGAGATGACACACTGCCTCAGCATTTGTCAAGCGTGTCAAACATGGAATTCCCAAGTTGAAATATGGAATACACTGGAATTCTCAGATCTCAGACTTATATTCCATCAGTTACCATCAGTTATATTCATACTCCATCAGTTGCGTTATGAACATGTAGATTTTTATATACCATCATCTACCGATCATCTGAAGCCCCAGGCCGGGCGATCTCCACGCCATCGCAACTGCTGGCGTCCTCACGGTCAGACGGCATATGGGTTTGGATTTTAGATACTTTGGAACATCCTTCTGAATCCTTTGTTGTACAAAAAATGAAGTTCCAATCTGAAAACTAATGATAAACTAGTGACTTCAATGCTGTCATACTCCATTTTTCATAACATGTGACATGGTGAACCGCTGAAGCGCCATTGGGCATCCCAACAAACATGCAGTGGTCCAAGAGGGGTGCGACACACCTTGGGAAATCAACAGGAATCCATAGGTATCCATTCCAAATAACAAGTTTGGAAGTGTCTGAAAGTTGGTTGGGAAAATTTGGGAAATTTCCGAAAAACTGAAAGTTGATAAAGTTGGAGGTTCCCCAAGGTGAAGTTTCCCAAGTTTTTGGAAGTTTCTGGATGCAGCTGTGTCCGATGAGTTTCTGGCGGACCCGATTTCTGGCAGCCGATGACCATGGGCTCCGCAAGGCAAAACCCAGGCTGACGGGGCGAGACTTCGATCAAAACACAATCAGAGAAGCCTCCAAAAACGGAGGGCGAAATTCTGCAAATTCTGATCCCCAAAATCTGAAAGATGCAAAGACAGTAACCATGATGTAAAAACAGTAACCGTTTTGAAACCTCTCAAGATGGTCTGCTGATGCGCTTCGCCTGACTGCATACGACCTCTGCTTCTCCCGTGTAGCTGTTGTTGGTGTCACAGAACCTGAGAAATGGGGTTGCCAGCAGGTTGCATGTACTTGACCACCTCAACCCAGCACTAACATAAAAAAGTTGACCTACACTGGAGATATCATGGCTTCATGGCTTCATTTCTTCAGTTTACTCACCATTTCTGGTTGAAACATCGCGCTGAGGGCTTCGCCAGCCGGAAGCGTTTTGGAAGTAGCCTTCCTGCACCGTCCGCGGGTTGGGACAGAAACACTCCGAGGCTACCCATTCGAAGGCCTGGCTGCGAGAATTTTTGGAGAATGCCTTGGAATGGAGGTTATTCATGTGATTTACCTTGAAACCAACTGGTAACATCTGGTAACCCGAATCATTTTCAGTACTGGTAACTGGGGTTATCATGCGCTTCAGTCACAGGCTGAGCGTCTGGCGCCCTGCCAATCAATGTTGTTACCTGAGCTGCTCTGTTCAGCTCCCAAAAACTCGGCACCCAATGGGCACCCAGTATCTGTTGAGTTGGTGGATGACCATCACCAACTGAAGATGCTGGATGACAGGGACATTTACCCTCTGGTAAACTAACATAACTATGGAAAATCACCATGTTTAATGGATAAATCAACTATAACTGGCAATTTTCAATAGCTATGTTTGATTACCCATTGATGATTCAGCTGGATGATGAATCTGAGCGGCTGCTACATCTGGCCACCGAAGGCGGTCCCACATAGGGCGCCTTGCGGTCACATCTGGGGCTGTGGCATGTCAACTGGAAAATCCATCAAAAATGCACAGAAAAATGGCCTGAAAGATATGAAATTGGGAGATGCAAACTGTACAACCAACCAACAACCAGTCCAACCATTCCAACCATCACCAAAGGTAAAAACCGGTTGCTGATTGTCACACATTTTTCCCACCTTGCAAGTGACTTGACATTCTTGTCCCGGCCTAAGGGCGCTGATGTCACTTGAATGGCAGCTTGATATCACGTTTCTATCATTTTAGACATTTTTGGACCAGTTCGTATCATCGTTATACGGATTTTCTACAGCATTCTATGCATGTTTGTACACTTTGAATCAGTTTTATCAGCTGCGTTCTGTGAAGATTCCGAATGGAGCCATCTGAAGGCGTTTATGCCGCCAAGGAACTTGAAATCATAGGGGCACTGAGAGGTGTTGTAGGCACCTTGGGATGAGACTGTCATGGACAGAATCCACATTTCATCACATCCGACACTATCCATTTATAGCTGATGTTTGCTCCACAACAAGGTCAACATGAGGAAATTTTCCCCCAAAAAAGGAACTGCTAGGTCCCAAGTCTTTGGCAATCGTCAAAGCGCACAGGACGACAGGACTCCAATGGAAAGCAGCCTGAACCGCGGACAACATGCAGATCGAACCCGTTGCACTCCAAGATCGAACTCACGTTTCGTTTAGTTGCAAAAACACCTCAACATTATCATTAACAATATTACAGATATTGCATGTATAGGACTAAGATCATACTGATGGATCCATATCAGAAATTACAGATATTACTGTGGATCCACATGGATCAAACCACGCCTGTGAGTTTGGGCGTCGAGTCGCAGTTAGCCCAAGGTCCACAATGCACAGTGGGAGACACCTCAGATTTCTAAAACCCGAAACAGTGGGATTTTGGGTGAAACAATGTGAAAACGTTGGTTTTGGAAGGGTGAAACAATGTGAAACATCGAGAACATCTATCATTGGTGGGTGTTTCTTGGGAAACCATTGATTTCCGTTTCTTGGTAGTTAATATGAATTACCAGTAGTACCGCACAAGGCGGTGGCGGAAGTTTCAAAAATAGGAAACCTATAGGAGAGATTGGTTGTTGTGAATCAGGGATGGCAGAGCGAATCCACTGATGGACCGAAAGGTGCTTGAGGTCTCCTCTCTTTCTCTCTCTTTCTCTGACTATCTACCCACCTACCAACCTATCTTCTATGTATCTACCTGTCTATCGATCTATCTATATATCTCTCTCTCTCTCTCATCTAATTACCTATCTATCTATCTATCTACCTACCTACCTATCTATCTATCTGCCGACCTGTCTATCCATCTGTGGTGCAGTGTCATTCAGTGTAATGTAGTGTAGTGTAATGTGTAGTGGAGTGTACTGGAATGTAGTGTAGTGTAATGTAGTGTAGTGTAGTGTGATTTAGTGTAGTGGATTGTAGTGGAGTGTAGTTGTGTATTCGTAGTTGTAGTTGTAGTGTAGTGGAGTGTAGTGTGATGTAGTGAAGTGTAGTGGAAGGTAGCGTAGTGTAGTGTAATGTAGTGTAGTGTAGTGTGATTTAGTGTAGTGGAGTGTAGTGGAGCGTAGTGGAATGTAGTTGTGTAGTTGTAGTTGTAGTGTTGTGTAATGTAGTGTAGTGCAGTGCAGTGCAGTGTAATGTAATGTAGTGTAGTGGAGCGTAGTGTAGTGTAATGTAGTGTAGTGTGATTTAGTGTAGTGGAGTGTAGTGGAGTGTAGTGGAATGTAGTTGTGTAGTTGTAGTTGTAGTGTAGTGTAGTGCAGTGCAGTAGTGTAGTGTAATGTAGTGAAATGTAGTGTGTAGTGAAGCGAAGCGACATCTGAACCTCAAAAGTGGTCTGAAACCCTGGTGTTTTGCACATTTTGACTTCGAAATGTGCTTCGCGCCACAACGGCGTGCACTTTTTCCACATCGGAACTTCCAAAAGTGGCGCGAACATGTGGTGTTTTGTACATTTTGACTTCGAAATGTGCTTCGCGCCACAACGGCGTGCACTTTTTGACATCAAACTTCCAAAGTGGGCGAGAATGAAGGTGTTTTTAAAACATTTTGACTTCGAAATGTGCTTCGCGCCACAACGGCGTGCACTTTTTCGACATCTCCAACTTCGAAAAGTGGTTCGAGAATGGGGTGCTTTGTTAACATTTTGACTTCGAAATGTGCTTCGCGCCACAACGGCGTGCACTTTTTTGACATCTCAACTTCCAAAAGTGGTCCGAGAATGGTGTGTTTTGTACATTTTGACTTCGAAATGTGCTTCGCGCCACAACGGCGTGCACTTTTTCGACATCTCAACTTCGAAAAGTGGTCCGACAATGGTGTGCTTTGTACATTTTGACTTCGAAATGTGCTTCGCGCCACAACGGCGTGCACTTTTTTGACATCTCAACTTCCAAAAGTGGTCCGAGAATGGTGTGTTTTGTACATTTTGACTTCGAAATGTGCTTCGCGCCACAACGGCGTGCAATTTTTCATCTCTCATCTGGCCAGCTGGCTCCGCACCCGCCGCTTTAGCGAGCCGACTTTTCGACCCTCCGGAACCTCAAATCATTCGGAAAACACAGTGTTTCGCGACTTTCCTACCTTTTCGCGCATCTGCACCTTATTTCTTCTGACTCTTTCTCTTCTCTGATCTTCTCTCCTCTAATCTTTCTCTTCTCTCTGCCTCAGCCCTGCTCTGCTTTTCATCTGTCCATATTGTCGGAAGTTTGACTTCTAAACTTCCTTCGAATATGCCCCAAACATTGGTCTTTAGCCGTCAAGTTACATGGGAGTTTACTCAACAAATTGATCATTGACATCAACAAGAGTTGGGACTTCCCAAACAATATGGGTGCCATTGAACTATAGAGAACACACATCAGGGTTTTCCAAAGCTTGACATCCGAGACACCTCTACCGCTCCCACATAACCAGCGGCACAATGGAATCCATCGGATCTCTTTTCATAACCTGGCAGTGTAAATGAATGGTAAATGAATGGTAAATGAATGGTAAATGCACCACATCAAAGATATCTAAAACTCAAGAAACATCTGAAAAATCAATGACTGCAACTGCATTGATGATCTTCGAAACTGGACGTCGATCTGAGCTTCAATACCCACCGGCAAGGGCAGTGGATCTTTGCAATCCTCCCAATCCAAGTCACACCTGGCGAGCAGTCAGATGGGTCAACACATGGGATATCACATCCTTCGGGATGGAACATCACCACAGTAGCGACTGTGACGTCACCTGCCAATCTCCCACTCAATGGGCTGCAAAGGGTCGATGTTTCCAAGTCGACCTCAGTGGATCGGATGCATCGGATGCGCTGTCAGTGACATTCATGTAGATTATCAGTGGTTAGTTAGTATGGGATATCAGGATGTCCAACTTTATCACATATTATCATTCTTATCATCATATATCATCTGGTATCAAACTATTACATAAATCCGACACATTCTAACACTGGACATTAGTCACATTCATCTAACACACAATAGTTTCGTTTGTAGATCACAACCAGCAGGCTGAGTTCTGGACATGTGGCGTTCTGCACCTGGTCCTGTTTGTAGGGCGGCACGCAATAGATGCTGCAGGTCTCACCAGGCATCACCTGGGATTCTCCAATGACAAGCTCCAAAAGGGGAGGATCATGTAAGTCTCATCCAAGTTTTGGTTTATCATGGGGGTTAAGAAGAATTTATCAACATATCACTGCAATTATTAGATTAAATATGATTAAATCAATTATTGGGTATTTTGATGTATTTTTGGGCATTTATGATTGGGTTGACCACCCAATGTGATGACATCCAGTATCATCCAACTGCGGCGCATCCAAGTAGCGTTCACGCAGTCGGAGAGGTCGAACATGCCTGAGGCATCGAATCATCTATGGAGGTTTATTGCTAGGAAAATCATCTATGGAATATGTTCAAAACCAGGGGATCCCTACATCCATCGGTTCATCATGGTTCCTTCCAAAGTTGCAATTTTTGAGACAAACCCATATGTGAACTATAGATACCGGGTGATATCGATTCACGATTCTACCGAAGATGTTGGCTGTGATGCTACCACAATCCACGTTTTTCTAACTGAAAAAAAGACGATTTTGTGGAGTAATTTCTGAACATTGCTGAACGTGTTTCGAACTTGGAACACTCATCATGATTGGTTGGTTTTCTGACATTTTTTTGAGCCAAGGAGCAGGTATCCACGTCCGGAATGATGCATGGCTTCAGTGGGAAGCATCCCAAAAACCTCAGAAATTTCCATGGTTTTCCGGTGAGTTCAGCTACAGAAACAGCGACAGAATCAGCTAAAATCAGCAACCAAGGGGCTCTGGTTCATCCAAACATGTGTCCGGGCGTTCGCAACCTGGGCGTCACAACTCAGAACTCAGCTTTCCGATGCCTTGAACCACCTTCAACTCATCTGATTCTTCGAAATCAACGGGAACCAAGCAATGAACCAAAAAGAAACATCCCATTTATGTGGTTCATTGCTTGGTTCCCGTTGATTTAAACGTGTTTAAGATTTAAAACTTCATCAGCAAACATCAGCAAACATCCCCAAGATCTTCCAAAACGGACCAAGTTTCCAGGCGCTTCACGGCCGTTCCTGCAAAACCTGGGCCACACACCTCGGTTCTCCAACCGCCGTTGCTGGTTTTTATCAATTTTTTGGGAGCAAATAATGGGACTAACAATGGGATTGATAATGGTGGTTGTTTCTGGGCAGTTTCACAAACTAATAATACTTTGATATTGGTGAATCATGGGGATTAATCATGGGTTACTGATGAATGGTCAATAATGGGTAGTAAGTATAATTCAGAACGACTAATTCATAATGATGGGATGTTTAATAGCACATAATAGCACAAATCCAGCAAACATCTCTTCTTCCGACACCAAAATAAACCCTTTGCCGTCGAAATTGAGCAAAATAAACACAGCTAAGGCAACAGACCCAATCGCCCTCTGTGTTCTGCATGTAGCCCGCTGGAACGAACTCCGGCGCAGGGGCTGGACCTTGGTTGAAGCTAAGCTCTGCGTAGACCCCCCGACCCCTTCGGGTAAACATCGTCATCGTCCAAGTTTTTAAGGCAATGAAACATCTTTGAAAGCACCCGGGAAATGTTTGAATGACATAGATTTTGTAGGCATTATTCATCTGTATGCGACCATGTCATGGCCATGCATCGCCACTACCATAAATGCGGCTGATTCGCCACCCCTCCCTGACCCAAAATGCAGCCTCACGCGCAGCCTGCTGAGGCACCCCACAGTCACAATCCAAGAAGGAGCCAACGGGCAAAATCACTTCCTGCTTCAAATCACATCCAGAAAGTGACAAAAGATAACAAAAGTGACAAGTTTCCAATAATTTCCTTCAGATTTTCGGCGGTTCAGAACTTGAGTTCTTGGAAGTTTATGAACACCATTCTTCACCGAGTTCACTGATCAACTCATCTTTCAATCAGTACACCATATCTGCCTGTGTGGGATCTGTGTTGTCGCCGGGGCAGGCGGCGAACACCTCATGGGCAACATGTCGATGGTGGGGTACTGTGGCAAAACTATGCAAAATGCCTCATAAAATGGGGGATTACATGGACATATTACATAGTAAGCTTTGAAAACAATCGAATCACACAATTGCACGGAAACAGCATTGACTACCTTTCGACGCATCAGTTTGTAATATCGGTTAGGCATCATCAACGTTCCGTATAGTATATTCGTTGACTTTGGAAAACGGGCTGCAAGGGTTTGGTCTGGATGTTGAAAAGAAAGCATTAGGAATCATTAGGATATGTCGGGACACAAACAACACCTGGAAGCAGCATGTTTTTTCAATCTGCAGGAGGAACCATGTCTTGGCCCGGTGCTTCTGGAGAGCCTTCGCATGAAACATGCTGCGCTGCTATATGGGCCAGTATCCCAGAGCGGCAGCCATCTTTATGAAACCACCTAGACTTGAAGCCTGCCGGGAGAATGACGCAATCAATGATTCTTGCCTTTCCACTTGGTAAATTTCGGCTTGTCTCACCACTTCAAAACTCTGAGTACTGCCTATTTGCATATATCGGAAGGCTATTTGCGCATTGTCAATGGCCGAAGAATGGTCAACAAGACTATTCACTAGGAAAGAGAGAGGTATCCAGATCGGAAACATAGTGCGTGCCCACAGACGACGAGCAGTGGAAACATGCTTCTCGATGAGGAAAATTTCTTCATCCATGCCTCGCACGACTCGGCGAGGCTCACACAGGTAATTTTTTGCAGCACTAGGCTGACCGTCCCTGAAAAGTTGCTCAACTTTGGCTTTCAAGTCCAAGAGGAACTTGGCGACCACCAATGTACTTGTGATCTTCTCCTCACCGTCTCCTTTCATCCATGGTGGTGCAAAACCGCTGTCGGCAATTATGCCCAAGTGTTCCAAAGCTGTCTTGATTGCCCAGTCGAGGTCGTGACGGTCTTTGATGCCTGCATGCTTTACCCACAGCACTCCCGCACGAGTGATATCGATGATCACCCACACTGAGTAGCCGTTTCGTTGGCACTCCTTTACAGTCCAAACACAGTTCCGATAGTGTTGACCGATTCTGACATTATGGCTGGGCAAACTATGTGCGTGCCTTGGACGTGTCCATCGTCTCATGTCCCACCCACCTGCTATTTTCTACTCCTGCTACAATCTAAAAACTCAGGTCTGAGCCGATGTCCTTCCTTCCCATCATGTTGCATCAAGTCAAAAGGTCATATGACAGTGAACAGTGTCAAGCGTATTCTAAGATGCTTTGTCGGGGGATCTGTTGAACACTGCACAAAAGACTAGATATCAATTATAGTAAATCAGTGAATATTATAAGTTGAACTGGTATTCGAAGGATATATTTGACTAATTAACATCATAATTATGAAAATAACATCATAGAACACTTGCGTTATCTTGCGTTCCAGTTTTTCTAACATTGGCTATTTGTGCAATAGAACATTTTGAGGTATCATCCATTTTTGGACAAACCCAACTGATACCCTCAGTTCATGATGGCAATTGGATACAAACGGGTACACAACGCATCCAATGGTGACCAAGCCACGCCCAGACCGCTGTAGGGTTTTCGACATTTTAGCTGACATTCTTGGCCTTGCGATGCTGGAAACCGTCTCATCAATGCGATTGTGGGGAAATATCAGGTTGGGCTTCCCCTAGGCAAACATGGCCAGGAAAATATCTGAAAGTAGACAATGTACCTGTTGATAGAGAGCAATTGGCCTCAACAACCAGCAACTTCCTAGTTTAATCACCAGAAACTCTCCGCAAACTCTCCACTGGCTCAACTCTCCAGTGATTTCAGGAAATCCAGTCAAAGAGCGGTTTCTGCAAGTAACTAATGACAATTCACAACCTTCCCAGTCAGCTTCCCAGAAACCAGAACTTAATCCATATATCATCCATTTTTTTTAACATCAGGAGATGTAACCCATATATAACCCACATATAATCCATATAGAAACCATATGTAAACCATATAATCCACATTTCTCATCCAGGGGATCCCTTTTTAAATCACCTCATTGGGGCAGCCCAGCCTGGCACTACTGAGCCGCAGCTCGAGGTGTCGTATTTGCATCCCTCCAGAGATGAGGGAGGCACCTGGCGGTGTACTATGGAAAATCACCATCTTTTTAATGGGTAAATCAACGATTTCTATGGCCATTTTCAAGTTCGCAAACTGCTTGTTTACCAGAGGGTAAGTATAATCCATATAGAACATATATCCATATATAATCCATATATATGTATATATATAACCATCATATGATCAGTGCATTGGCAAAAACCAGTAGAAAAAATGGACCGATGTTGGACCTGTTGGATGTTGATTTTCATCCTGAGGTCATGGCGCAGGGAACCAAGGGTTTGCAGCCGCTGGGATGCATCTCGAATCCACAACCTGTGAAAAACGGAGAGGTTAAACAAGTTAAACAACCAAGATGAGTTTTAACCGATGCTTTAAGCAAACATTCTAAATTCGAGATGAACAAAACAGAGTCATTCTTCAGATGACCACATCGATTCCTTTACTGCTGCCAGTTGCTGCTGTTTCCACACCTCTACCGCCCTGGAATGCTCCAGCAGGTGAAAAACCGCCTCAGATGACACTCTGCGTCTCGCTGCAAATGCCCGTTGTTTAATGCTACAACAATATGTTCAAAAATGAAGTAAACCCAATCAGAAACCATCCCAATTATAGATTTTCCCACGTTTCGATCTGTTCTTTCTTGCTTTCCCTCTGAATTGGATTCGATGACGCTTAAATCGGAAAGAACAGTCGGAAAACCACTTCTGATTGGTAGTTCGCTTGCATTTTTTCTATCTTCCAATTCATCTTTCATAGTTTTTCCATGTTTTTCCCATACTTATCCCATACTTATCCCAATATCTCTTCTCCAAAGATGGGTCAAATCGGGTCAAATCTGTCAAATCTCTGAGGCCCAGGCAATGCACTGCAGGCGTTCCGCCATAACCTTCGTCGCACCTCCAGCTATCGTGCGTCTTCACCTGAGCTGATGAAGTCGTCACTTGGATATGGCCGGCTTGTGCCATTGTCATTGGCCATCCTTTGGCGTTAGCAGCCGTTAGCATTGAACAAAACCACCATCCAACAGTTCGCCAACAAGAAGAACTCAATATTATATTCTGTAAACTGGCTAGTTGGAGCCTTCCTTTTTCATGGTATGGTTAAACCAACAAATGAGCAAATGACTCTCCATTTTCCCCATTGGAATTGCCAGGCTTCCCCGACGTACCCCACCGGAATCTCATCGGTGGCGTTGCACGAGTCCAGGATGCAGTTCAACTCACCTGAACAAATGCAGCTGGTAAAAGGCTGGGAAAATCACGGGAAAACTTTGGAACACTCCGAAAATGATGGATGGTGATGTGATATTTGGTGATGGGATGGGTTTTTTTGGCAGTTTTTGATGTTCCGCTTTTTGTATTCCCACCATTTCGGAAAATCTATGGCAACATCTGCCTTTTTTTCGGGCGCCTTGTAGAATCGGCTGGGCGTTCTCATCGCCGTTGTCCTCGCTGATCGGAGAAGCTCATGGGTTCAGCATGCTTCAGCACATCAGCAAATGAAAGAATGCTGGAACACCTGACAGATTGGGCTATGGTTTGGGTGGGATAGGATTGAATAGGGTGGATTGAGGAAAACATCGGTTGGCATCACTTTACTGAGCCTGTGGGCACAGTGCCGTGACAGATGCTCCGCTGTAGGGCCTACAGCGCCAATTTCCGCTTGATCCATTTGGGTCTGAAAATGTGGGGAAAAATGCCATTTTTCCATTCATTTTTTTATCGATATCACCATGTTCCCCATATACAAATTGCCATGCTTGGGGGGCACCACATTTTCATTCTAGATGATCCCAGTATTTCCAATTTTTGATTTCCAGCATTTTGTTGCTTATATGTTGCTTATCTATCCCATGTTTTCATCCTAGATGGCAACCAACGAATTCTTGTTAACGAATCCATATTCTGTGGTAAACATGGAGATTGATGAAATGTTGATGATTCTGGTGTGTGTTCACTTGGTTTTTACATGCTACTTTCATGGTTTTACAACCCATTTCGATGGTAAAAATGGTCAAAACATGTAATCTCTGAGAACCCCCACATGGCACAGGCCACTGTGCAGCTTTGTCCCGGTTGAAGATCTTCGCAACCCATTAACTCCACCTAGTCGAAAAACAACAGAAACTCTATGGAAAATCTATGGACGTAATGGGAACATGTATGAAAATGATGGGACATATGCTGGGGTATTATTCAAAAGCTATGCATTAAAATGAATTAAATCCATCGAATATGATCCATCAAACCATGGACAGTTGAATGGAAATGGCTGAAAGGATGAAACATGGCGCAAAACTCTCTGAGATGCAGGCGTCACAGCGATAATCTGTCAAGTTCCTCACAGAATGTCCCAACAAAATAGCTGAAAGGCACATGTTGCAGGGTGTTTTGCAAAAATAAGTAAACACATAAAAATAAATTCATGTGATAATTCGAAAACATTGATGTTGAAACAGGGATTTGATGGCAGCACAAAACTTCGAGGCAAACCATGTGCGGAGCGACTCTTGGGGACCACTTGGCCGATGTAAACTGGGCGCCAGGCAAACGAGCGCACGGAACCGCTTTCGTGCAGCCCGACAGCAACGGCACTTCCTGTGACAAAGACATGGGGTCCAAGGAATGAAAAACATATCTAACATTATCTAACTATCTATCTAACTATTTATCTATCTATCTATCTAAAAAAACGTCATATATCTTTGTAAACTTTTATGGAGTGTGAGACTGGAAAACACCAAATGTATCTGTGCTTCATTTTTTGTTAAACAACTGTTATTGCCCTCGCTCATTTTTTGGCAACCTTTTCGTCATTTTTGGATCGATGTTTGGTCATTTTGCCATTGTTCAGTCATTTTCTGGCGATATTTTGGTCGTTTTTTGGGTCAAGGTCACTTTTTGACAATCTTTTGGTCATCTACCTATGTACCTAACTGTCTAGCTATCGAGCAATCTGGCTACCTAGCTCCCATAACTGCAGGGATGATCCCCATAGCCTGCCCGGTTCACATCACCATAAAACCCATCTACAACCTATCTTTTAGTGGGATTTACCTCTTTTTTGAATCGACCGCAACATCAGCAACATAAGAAATCAACAAGCGGATTTGGGTGTCTGAATGGGGAAAACTCATGATTAACCAGTGGATTTTTGGGGTGCCAAATGGTACCATATTTCCAGACGATGCACCTGGCACTTGCTCTCACTTCCGCAATGCAGCAGGGAAGTGCCCGTGTAGCCCTGCAAGGCTCATCACATTCTGTCTGGAGATGCTGACCTCAATTCTTCCAACTTTCGATACAATATCTTAAGGTCACTTTTGGTATATAAGACTATATTCTATATTATACTATATATTATATCTATATACCTATCCAATCTTGCTGGCTCTTCAAGGCTGGGCCACAACCATTCTTCCAGGTGCCTGTCCGCAAACCCTGTTGTCGTAGCCCGGCCCTGTTTTGACCTTGCAACCGGACCAAGGGGACCTAACTGGGTTCCAACTCTCCAACTTTCAAAGCTGCTGTCTGAATGCTCTCCTTTCAGGTGCTGACATATCCCGGAGGAATGGGACATGGATCAGGGCCTCAGCCATACCAAGCGATTTCTATGTGATTGGCGACAATCATCACCAGCAGCAAAAGCTGAGGCTGCGGCAGAAACAATCGCCCGGAAACCACATGAAGGCTCTGGTTGCATCCAAATTGTTGGGTGGACCTCACTTCTTTGAAGAGATCATGTGAAGGGGCCAACTTTTCCATCCATTTTGGATCCTGCCATGTTGGATGGGTATCTCAAACTGGAAAACTGATCTTTGAACCAAGGTCCAGACACATCGCTGTGGATTGAAAGCCCCTGTAAGGCCTCAGAATCCGCACAAAATTCATCCAAAGTCGTGTCCTGTTGAACCAAGGGCCCAGGCCGTTTGCATTGGATCGTCAGGCTCTCGCCTGCGCACCGGGCTTATTTCAGGGGGGTATATCCCAAGATGGCAAGTTTTATGTGGAACATGATGGTAATCCGTGGGATTTCAAGGTTTAAAAACCTTTGACAAAATCAATTGATCCTTGAAATTGGTGAAAATCAACCGAGAACTGTGCTGCAGTGATCTGGGTTTTGTTTGAAAGCGTGGGGAACCGGCAGAAACCCCAAAAAACCTGCTGGGTAATCATCATTTTTCTCAAAATTGGTCATCTGCACCTCCCCAAAGCTGCACGGTCGGGTCGTAGTCGTAGATCTGTCAAGACATCATGAGGGGAACGATTCACTTCAAAGTTTGCCAAAACCTTCATCTATGAATCTATGGTATGTGGAAACCAATCCTTTTTTACTTATCTTTCCATGCACAATTCACATATATATATATATACACACATACACACACTCATAATATATGTATATATATAGTATATTTCTACATAGAAAAAAAAACGCATTTTCATCATGTTCATCTCTGCCGTGCGATGGCCACCACTCCAAATCGATGTCCTTAGGACCTGACGCATGGATCGATCTCCGGAAAGACGCAGGGGAAGAGCCTCAATGTGTTTTTATATGTTCAACTGGAATGACTGGAATTTGGTTGAACTGTTTTTAGGTAGCAAAAATTCCTCAAACATCTCCTGATTTGGTGTAAAAACACCGATCAAGGGACTCATAGCACCCGAAGAGCGTGGTCTCGATGTCGCAGCCCGAGAATTTCCGCGAACAGAAGGAATCTCGGTGCCACACGATGCTGACAACGGATTTCTTGGAGAAATCGTCCTATGATGTCCTTTCTAAACTGCTTGAGATATCATTGTATACCCATTGTAGCATCAATATATCATAGAAAAGCGATGGAGATTTCTTGTGTGGGAAATGATGTGAAGGAATAATGCTACGGTTGGATGTAGCTCTGACTAGCTTAAATCTATCCCGGAGGGAAATTCGAAATCCCTGCAACATGAAATCATAAAACACGGCATTGAGCTGTCGACTGGCACTGCCCCAGAATCCAGGTGCCTTGCTGTGGGGTAAATTTCTTGGGAGTTTCCAGGTGTCAATCAACATCAATCAGCATAAGTTTAACCAAAAGTTGGACAGAACTTCACTATAGCAACCAAAGAACCCATATTACTTCAACCGGTAGGATTTGGCTGCTCTCTTTTGTGGGGTTGCTTCAAATAGGTTTCTAATTTTGATTCTTGGCAACAAATATGAAAGAATGAAATCAATGTTTACACAGCTGTACACTGTACACATTACCATTGGGCCGTTGACTACATACTACCCATTTATGGCTCTCCCCCACAAATGATGATTCACCAGGATTCACCAGTGGATTTTCTATGGTTCTTCGGATAGTTTTTTCGGATGTTTTTCTCCTCAGTTCCGGACGCATTCCAGGAAGCCGGTGACCTCAAAGGGACCCATGGCGGGCACCATGGCACTTTGGAAACCGTTCCGAGCTTCGGGCGTTGCTTCTCCAGTAGCCCCGCGGCATTGGAACGGGATCTGGGCAAACCATCCTGCGAAATGTCTGAAAAAAGGATGGAATGTTTGGAAAATGATGAAAAAAGATATGGAAAGTGACTGGAAAATTGCTGGTGAAGATGAACAGGGCTAGTGGATTTCATGTGAAGATGGCAGTGGAGTAATCCTATGATCATCCTGTGATCATGACACAATCATGACACAAGACATAGTTTTTCAATGAAACCAATGAAACACCGGCATATGACAGTGCCAACAAGATCATCTGCCTGCAGCTGGGTCGGGTCCATTCCACCAAGCGGTTGGGATTGGTGTTGGAGTCCAGGCAATAGCCTGTCGCAAACATCACCAAATGCCTGGAAATGATCAAAATGTTGGAGATCATTCCATCCCATCCATCCCATCCCTCGGCCCGGCCTCCAGTGGAGGTGCCTTCGTAGTTGGTTTGACACCGCAGCACGCAGAACTGGCCCGGCCCCAAGTTGTCGCATTCCGAGGTGTTGTAGACCTGATTCCGAGGCTGCGATAGCCCCAAGATCCCCAATCTTTGTGGAAAATGATGGTGAAACCCAATCCCCCATTGTGAAAAATGGTGTGAAACCAATAGTACCTATAAATAGTACCACGTAGTACCAATAGTTCGATGGTGAAACATGGTGAAACCCAAGATGCTGAAACATGGTAAACATCTGCCGTTGACTCAGGGCATCACGCACTCGTCCGCCGATGGCTTGACACAACCCACCACTGGGAGACAACCTGGGTCAAAACGAAAATCTAGTGATGGGGATTTTATATCAAAAAAATCTTATATGACAAAATATATTTTCATCAATAATCATCAATATATCAACAGGTCATATATAAGATATTAACTGACACTTGTTTCAATGATATTCCATTCTGTGGATTTCCCATCCACAGGCCGATGTTTTTTTCCGGTGCTCAGTGCCGCACCCACCAGCACGGTGTTGCTGGTGCAGTTGGAGCTGTTCAAAGGGTCGACGTAGATCGGACAACTTTCCACCGCTTGGCCTCCATAGCCCGAGGCCTCACGGAATGTCAAAAATGGCATCAAATGATACCGTACTGCAGTACTGCATGTGTTGCAATGAAAATATAATGATGATAATTATAATAGTAATTATTATAATTAACAATTAATAATAATAATTATAATTACTATATATCTATATATTGCACATGGATACTAACCATCAAGTAAAATATATATCTCATCTGCAAATCAACACACCTGCGATTTCAGGAATGAGCTCCCAACACATTGCCAGCTCTGCTGGGAACCCACTGTGGTCAGTTCGAAGCCATCTACCGACCTGAGATTTGCAATTAAAACAGGTGTTCATGTTATCAAACATAAACCCATCATGATAATCCTTAGTTATAGTGATCTTTAATAATAAACCCATCATGACCATCATGTTATCAATTTCCCATTCATGTTATCCGCATGGAAATAGACTTTAACCATCTTTAGTCCGAATTCATCCAAGTTCTGAAGAACTTTCGGTTTCCAAATCAGCCGAGTCACTGGAATTCGGGCGTGGGGCACACCGTGTAGTTGCATCTGGGCCCGGATTTGTTCACAGCTACAAACATGACACAAACGAAGGTGAAAACTTCCAGATTCTAATCATTTTGTGATTTTATCGTGGGAAGATCCATCGAAAGGGCCAATTCGAAGAACACTAATCCACTTCTTGATGTGTGACTGGGAGAAACAGAAACTGTCAGCAGAAAATCTCAGCTCAGCACATTGGGATCTTCCAATTCAGAGAGGTATTTAGCATCTGGGCGCGCTTGGAAAATGTCAGGCTGGGGCTTTCCCACACCCCAAATGCACATGTTCTTTCACAAGTTAAAATGCAAAACCACATGGGTATTGATGATTTACAGATATGGATATTTATATGGATCATAGATATGTGGATATCCAAACAGATCTAAACTTAACGAAGTTTGAGGTTTCGATGTCCAAATGGAAACCGGGCTGCCAGACGGTGTTACCTTCAGGGCACCTTCCCACGGTCGGTGTCCTAGCTGGACATCAGTGTTTCACACCCAAAAACCAAGAAATAGATCATAAAATCAACCAAAAAAGGTGGGATGTAGACACATTCAGCACATATGTAAACCATCAAAATGGTTGAAGTTGGATGGCAATTTTTAGATCTGGGCCCATTTCAGTGTACCCAAATGGCGTTGATTCGGTGCGGTCCCGACGTAGGGATCTTGGCAGAAGATATCACAGGTCTCTCCAGGCCTTCGACAGCAAGCTGCAAAAACGCAGAAAACATTTGGATTGATGGTGTACCAATAGATGTATGTTTTTTACAAGTCCTCTATAAATAAAATGTAGTTATATAATGTAATATAGTGTAATAATGGATCTTTTATATATTCTATTTATCGATAGACATCACCAGAACTCATCAGCTGAATCTGCACATCCCAGCGACATGACTCCGCTGCAGTTGGAGGCGTCGTAGAGGCAGTTGCTTTCCAAGGACTGGAAGGTGAAAGGTCCAAGGACTTAGGGTTTCTTGGGGTTAAACAAATGGGACTTTCAGCAAAACCATGGAAAAAATATGTTTAGATATGATCAAAATGGAGGGTGAACCATGGTGAACCAGCAAGATTGACGATAAAACTCTAAGTTAGGAGGCATTTGTTTGAATGGGAAAGACCAAGTGCAACGAACAATGGAGGTAGGAACCACCCAAAAACTGGGGGCATTAATTTTCATATCCAGCAACGATGAGAAACTTTGGTTCCGAAGCTTATGGATCATGGGAATAGAGCCTGCCATATGGCCGTTTTTAGAGGCCTTCTATTGACAACACACATTTTTGATACGGAGGATTTGCACTATATAAGTTGATATGGATCTTGGCATCATCACCTATAAATAAGCCAATAAACAACTCAATACATAAATCAACACATTATAGTCATAGTAGTATTGTGAACGATAATATGACTCCTCCTCCTCATCATCATCATCATCATCAACCATAATTAACCATTATTAATCATCATTAACCAGCATTAACCACCATTCACCACCATCATTTCTTTTCAACAGCACAAGATTTCTTCAACGGTCACCTCGCAGGGCTGTAGTTCTTCACATCCACTGAGCTGGACCTGCATATTGCAACTCGCCTCAGAGATCCGCCCGGTGACATCCGGTTACAGGGGAATGTTTGCCATCCACCAGCTGTCGGAAATTCCAGCACTGGAGGTTTAAATGGAGGTTTGTAGCTGGGAAAACGATCTATACTTGGTGATTGAGGGGGAAAACCAGATGATGATGGGATGATGATGGGATAGGAATGTGATGTTCATGGGATGTGATGGCCATCCTTGTCACACAGTCTCAACATTCCAAATTTGGGCAATCGAACGAAGCCAACAGCAGTCAGCGACTTCTACAGTAGTCTCAGTAATCCAAACATATGGATTTGGTTCAAATAGATCTACATATGGAATGTCACGATTTTGAAGCCCTGTGTTGTTCTTCCAATTTCATCCATTTTCCATTTCCATTTTCCATCATTTCGTGAAAACCAAGGCCCTGACGTCGGTACTGCAGGTGTGGAGCACTTCCCCCACATATCCCACAGCACATTCCCAGCCATTACCACTCCTGCACGACGAGATGCCCAACTGTGCAGCGGTTGAAAAATCCAGGTTGAACAACATCCACTTGATTCAACCATAGTTTTTCAGAATAATTCAACCAAAAATATCCCAAAACATGCCGCAAATTATCATGTACTATCTATTCTGCTGATCTCTGGTGAGAAAATTCCTGTTCGCCTGGCATAGCCCGTAGGGACGCTGCTGGGCTCGGGGCAATCGCACTGAAAGTCCTGCGGGCCGTGGATGCCATGGGTTGATACCCGGTAAACTCACCTGAAATTCACCGGAAACGAAGAGTAAACGATGTGGGTATCTAACCACATCGAAGTGTTACTTTAGGGTATCTCCTGATGCAGTGGGAAAACGTGGCAAGATGATATGACTATGTGACCCGCTGATCTATCAATATCAAACCCCGGGTCAAATTGGGGTCTTTGTATTTGATACTTGTTTGTTCTAATAATGAACTATACCAACATCATATCTTTGAACGTGGAATCGGCTTTGCCCGTAGTAAGCAATAAATTGGATGCGGGTTCGTCTTTGACCAACAACTTCACCAATCAATTCACCCTTCAACGTTGCTAAAACAATCAACTCATCATCAATATTCGCCAAGAACCAATCAACTCATCTTAGTTCTGTGAGTTCATCAATCAACCATGATTAAGCCATGATTTCGTGGTGGTAACCCATGGTTCATTCCCCATGGTAACCCTATGGATTTCACCCATGCTTCAAATATCAGCCGCGGCACCTCTGGGATCAGCAAACCATTTTGCTCGGTGTTGATCTGGCGGGATGACGGCCATGGGTCTTTAATGGTGATCTAATGGTAATTTAACCGATGGAAAGTGGTGATTTACTGGTGATTTACTGGTGATTTAATGGTGGTTTAATGGTGATTGAACCATCCAATATTAGGGATTTCATGAGATTGAACCACAGGAAAATTGGGAACCCTCAAATCTTGGGACCCAGATGGATCATGGCAGTGTCCGGACCTCTGGACAGTTTGCCGTGGTGGAATTTCCCACATAAACCTCACAGCTGGCGACCGGGTGAAGTTTGGAGGTTCAACCCTTGATGTTGCTGAGGATAACGGGATAAAAAGGATAAACAATAAATATCAATGGGAGATAGAACCAAAAAAACAAAAACCAATATATAGAATTGTGATGAATTATGATTGGAGATTTCTCTTTTTATTGCATCAAGTTCATCTGCAGCTTCTTGCGTATTCAGTCTGTCGATTCCTAACATAGGGCTACCCCCAAGTCGGTCTATTTTTCATCTTTCCAATTGAAAACAGCTGAGTATTGTTTATGTATGTTCTTTTTTTGGGAACAGATCTCAAAATCCAGTATGCCCATCTTTGGGTTCGATTGAACATATCTGAAAACCCAATGATTTATCATCATTTACCCATTGAAACTGGTGATTTGGAGTATCCGGGAGTATCCACGGATATCCACAGTATCACGGTACCAATCTTTGAGGTCCTGAAAATCACCGAGCTTGCGGCTCCGCATGAAACCGTGCAGCTCGCTCCTGGAGCCACCTTCGAAAATCATGGTTCATATCACTGCAAGGTGAATTTCCTGATTTTCATCTGACATCCAAATGGCCATGTTGATTCAACGATGTTAAGCCATGTTAAACCATGTTGAACCATGTTGAACCATTAAATCTAAAGTTGTGACCGTGGAGATCCAAGCGGCATCAACTGGCATTGTTCAAATGGACCACTCGAATCGCCAAAGCACGGACTTTTATTTTTTTCAATGGCGAACTAACTCCATCGACTTCGGGGCTTCAGCTACTTTGTAGGCGAAAGAAGGGAACTTGGAAAACGGGATGAACAGAGACTGAACGTGTCTGAACATGTCTGAAGCTCCAACCCCCCACCTCCTGTGCGCTTGTCATGGTCAAAAATGGTTGTCAAAACTGATCTGACATGACATGACCATCCCCATGGTCACAAACTCCGGTTTTGACCATGACATAGTGCAGAACAAGGAATGGCAACAAGAACATTGTCACAACAGCTCCAACTTCGAAGAATTAGCACATATTAACATATTAGCACCACAAATGAATATATACTGAAACCAACTGAAACTGGTAGGAATACCAGGGAGAATGGAGATTCAGGTTGCAACAGCCATCAACTTCATCGGAAAGATAATTTTCGTATGACTTCCCGTGACTTCCGGCATGCTCAAATTCATGCCCGTGGCACGAACTCAAGGGCACTCCAACCGTGGCCAAAGTGAGGACATGAACTTTCTTCAGGGATTTGATGAGCCATTGGTTGTTTTTAGTCATAACACAACTTATGACATATGCATATGGTACATCATGGTACTGTGAAATGTACGCATCTCATCTCCAAACATATGTCGATGTGAACCTATCGGCACGAGCCCCCTTTGCCATGCTTAGAAGAAAACAGAGTTATGCGAGCGATGTGCCATCAGACTGACTAGCTCTTCGCTGGTTTGTCAGGTGGTAGCGGGGCTCCCTGAGGTGTTGGCGATCGACGTTTTTAGCCAGCACCGAAGGGAGTGACGCTTGGTGAATGTCGGGCGCATCAACCAGTGTGGGAAAAGAGGAGGCTGGATCCAAACTGGAAACGTTCACGGGTGAGAATGTAGGAGACTACAGAAGATGGAGAAGGAGAGCAACACTATACCTACAAGCACTGCCTACGACCATTCCTGAAAAGAAGTGGGGAGCAAGGCTGTTAGAGCACTTGTCGGGAGAGGCAGAAGAACTCATGGAATCCCTGGCAATTGACGAGATTGTCAAGGAAGACGGATACAAAAAGGTCTTTAAGATCTTGGATGACAAGTACAAAGAACCCGAGAAAGATGAACTCCAAAGGGTGCTGAAAGAATACCTCTATACCATATGCATCAAGGAGGGTGAAGCGTATCGCAACTTCATGATACGCCTAGACACCTCTTACAAGGCCTTGGTGAGAAATGAGGTAGAGCTTCCAGCTGCTGTGCGGGGTTGGCTTCTTCTCAAAAAGTTATCCCTAGATCCTACGTCCGAAGCCATGGTCATGACGTCGTCTCAAGGTTCGGTGATGCATGATGATGTGGTCAGGGCTGTGAGGAATGTGTTTCCTAACGGCAAG